TTCCTATGGTTTTCCTATGATTTCAGCAAGAGAGCCCGGGCGGGAAATTTGTACAATTTTTGTGAAAAAGCATTGGGTTTTTGATGTTTTTATGTTGAAATGCTTGCAAACACACGGTGTTCGGTAGGATTCTGACATGAACGCGCGCGTGTGCTCTTTGTGGTATTTTTTGCAATTGATTATCGCCGTGGACGACAGGACGTCCATGTCGAGAGGAAAAAATACAAACAATGTGGATTTTGTATTTTTTTTGCAGGTTAGGATGGGACCACCCGGATGCGGCCCCTATCGGCCGGCCTGAGGGGGGAGTAGGAGTATATTCGAATAAGGAATAAGGATAGGAGTAGTAGTAGTAGTAGTAGTAGTAGTAGTAGTAGTAGTAGTAGTAGTAGTAGTAGTAGTAGTAGTAGTAGTAGTAGTAGTAGTAGTAGTAGTAGTAGTAGTAGTAGTAGTAGTAGTAGTAGTAGTAGTAGTAGTAGTAGTAGTAGTAGTAGTAGTAGTAGTAGTAGTAGTAGTAGTAGTAGTAGTAGTAGTAGTAGTAGTAGTAGTAGTAGTAGTAGTAGTGATAGTAGTAGTAGTAGTAGTAGAGGAGGAGGAGGAGGAGGAGGAGGAGGAGGAGGAGGAGGAGGAGGAGGGGGAGTAGGAGTAGAACGAGGAGGAGGAGGAGGAGGAGGAGGAGGAGGAGGAGGAGGAGGAGGAGGAGGAGGAGGAGGAGGAGGAGGAGGAGGTCACCCCTGCCCCTGCCGCCTCTTCCGCCCTCGCTCGGCCGACCGCGCGCCGCCGCGCGCGCAGCCGTGTCCGGCGGCGCTCGCCGCGTGCCGCGCGCGCCGCCCCGCCGCGGCCGCCGGGATGCGGCAGGGGCCTGCGCAGGGAGTGGCCACGCCGCTGCCCGCGCGCGCCGTGGCGGTGCCGCTGACGCCTCGGGAGCGCGGCGCCGCGGGCCGCCCCGGCGCCTGCGCGGAGGCGCCGCCGCCGTCGGCCAGGGCGCAGGCCAGCCCGCCGCAGGTGCTCGGAGGAGGGAGCGGCACCGCGAGGCCCAGTGGTCGTCCCGATGCCGCTGCTCGTCCTGGCGGGTCCCTTGTCGCCACGGCTGGTCCCGACTCGAGAGGTCCTGGTCGGAGCGCGCTCCAGAAGGGGGTCCGTGGAGCAGCGGCCTGTTTTTGCTTCCTTCGGCCCATCCTGTCTCTGGACACGGGCGGACGAGAGGACGGACTGGGGACCAGACGAGCAAGACCAGAGCTGATGAGGACAAGATACCTCATCGCGCACATCACACCCTGAGTGACGTGTCGCCCTAAGCCAAAATGGCTGTAGCATATATGCACTGGGAACTGGGGGGCCGCCAAGGGCCCCCCCGTGGTACTCTTAGGAACGTCAGGCACATGGGGGCACAAGGGAAAAGAGAGACAGCGGGACCACTTTACGTGGGCCTGACGTCGGATAATCCACTAAGTGCTCCCTCCCTGCTTCCCGCCACCCCACATACACTGGAGACGAGGAGAAAGGAGGAGTCTTGGATCCTGGGCCTGGGAGACCTGGGAGATTCTGGGACCACATGGAATCCTGGGAGACTGGGTCGTCCAAAGCCTTGCGAGACGCACCTCTTGATCGTGACTTGAGGGACTGGTTCAGGGCGCGCTCGCATATGTGGCCCTCTTCGTCCACCAGTGTCATGATGCCTTGGCTAAGCAGGTCTGACAGGGCCAGGATCCGCCTTGGTGACGGGATCTGCGGCCATCCGGCCGTGCGGTATCCATCGGATCTGCGATCCGATGCTCGACATCGAATCCCGCAGCACAGCCACTTCGATCGCATTGCGGCGATCGGCACGTGATCCCGCGCAGTTGCGCGACAGTGTGTCGAAGATGGACTTGGCGTCCACCACGGAGACGGTGGACACGTCCTGGGCCAACACGCAGTCCTTAGACAGCACAACCGAAAACGGGGATTGTGAGGATGCCCAATCGGGAACCTGAACGTCGTGGAACATCAAGTCGCGCCAGGCGGCCTGAAGCCACTGGGCCTCGGCTACGGCCGACGACAGACTCAGGGTCTCCGCGGCCCCCGTGGAGGCCACGGCTCTTTCAATCCGCTGCGATCGCCACGAGAGCAGAGGGACCCTCGCCCTAAGGTTGTTCCTGATGCTGGCGTCCGCGGCGAGGATCAGCCACGCTCCCTGCGCTCTGTGTCGGCGCGCTGACCCAGGCCTGCCCGCATCCGAGACCGTAACGAAAGTTAGGCTCAGGGGGTCCAAGGGCCAGCTGGTGATCTTCTGGCTCGCCGTGGCCTTTTGCTGAGCGCACAGCTCATTGACCAGCGTGGCGTCAGAGACCAGAGGATGGGGAAGCGCGGCGCTCTGCAGGGAGGCTCCTCCTGCGACGTCCGGCCGGGACTCGCGGGCGAGGCATTGGATTTGCGCTATGGCAGTCCGATAGGCCTTAATCTCCGCTGAAGACAGGGTAGACGTGGGATCGGCCTTCCGAGACCTGTTCAAGCGCATGGGCGCGAGGGTCTCCAATATTGTTTTTTCTCTTGGTCCACGAGGATGCGACCGTTCACTTGCTTCAAGTGGCGGCCGGCGTAGTCCGCCTCGCCCTGCTGCCATTTCCCGACCTGAAATCGGGTCGTGATTATCCGCCTGAAAGCTTCGCGCTCCCCGGGGGCGGCGCCGACTATCAGGTCATCCACTTCTACCACGACGAGAGCCTCCAGTGCGCCCGTCTTGGAGCGCTTGAACCACAAGCAGGTGTCCAGAAGCGATCGGCGAAAGCCGTCCACAGCCAACTAATCGGTCAGCGTGCGATACCACAGTAGTGGAGCGCCATTGAGGCCGTACACTGGCGCGACCAGTTCTACCAGCTCCCCGCGAGAGAGAGGGAGCCCATCGCACGCCTCGCAGTATATCGCCCCCTGTGGTCGCTCTAGCTTCTGCGATTGGCAGAAGGCGGTCTTGAGATCGGCTATCTCCAGGACCCACCCCATGGAGCAGATGGCCTGGAGGGCCAGCATCACTGTCTCGCTCTGAGGTGTGGGCGAATAGACCTGGAGGTCAGGACCGTCTGGGTCCTGGTGCTGCTCCTACGCCTTCCTGGGTCTTGAAACGCCGCACCATGCGGCCCCCCAGAATACGATCCGGGAATCGACGCCTTATCATCTGCGCCTCGGAGGCTGGGACCATTCGGACGGCCCCGGAGTCCAGGATGGTCTTCCATTCTTTGGAGTCGGAGTGCGTAAACAGCTCGCGCTCTTCTGGCGAGAGCTTCCTGAGATTGACCTCGGCCCCCTTGGGCCGGGGTGGTCCCTGGGACCCCACTCCTGTCCAGACGTGCCCGGCGAAGCCGTGCCAGACGCATATCTCGCCCCACAGAGCCTGATCCTGGAAGTCATCACCAACTCCCCCTGAGAACAAAGACACGAGCTCAGCGTCCTGGCCTGGATCCTGAGAGTCTGAAGGAGGAGGAGGCGGAGGCCTAGACCGAGGGCGTTCCCCTCCTCCTCTTTCCTCCAGGGGCAGTGAAGCGCTGCCATGGCCTCCCTCGCTCGGGCCGGCTCCGGCTGGCCCGGCCTCAGGATGCAGGCTGGCACGTCGTCCAGCAGGTGCCTCTGCCTGGTGGAGGAGGGGGCCGGGAGAGACGTCGCATCGGGGGCGGGTGGAGTATCTTCTCGCTCTCGAATCATGGTCCTGACCCGACCTTCCCCGGGCATCTCCTCCGCTCGGGCGAGTCTAGGACGGGAGGAGGGAGGAGTCGCGGGCTCTTCTAGGGGTCTCCGAGCTATGCTCGGGCGAGCCGCGTCCTCGACTGCCGGTTCTGTAGGCAGCCCCGTGGTCTCACCGGGTGGGCAGAGCATATGAGAGCCCGAGTCCGAAAGACGAGCGGAGGGCGGAGCAGCGCGGAGAGAGGAAGAGACCGACGGGGTGGGGCCAGTCGGGGGAGACGTCGGGTCTTCCCCGCTGCCCAGTACCTCGAGCACCGGCGGAGGAGAGGGATGGATTGCAAACAAACACTTTTTTGTGCAAAAAAAAACCGATTGCAAAAAAACTTTCTTGAACGAAGGATTGCAAAAAGCCCTTTCTTGAACGAAGGATTGCAAAAAAGAACCCGGCGGAGGAGAGGGAGGGGTGACCGGAGCTCCCTCCTGCACGACGGAGAAAGGACCCGTGCCGCTTGGCACGGAGGGAGGCTGTGCTTCGTCCTCGGGGACGTCCCAGGTCTCGGGGGGGGGAGGACCGTCTCGCTCTACGTCCAATCTGGACGCCCGACATGGGTACCGAAAGAATGGGTACAATGCCCAACAGCAGTTCCTGTTCATTCTGAACAGGACTCGCTGTCCGCGCCGCCGCGGCCTGTGTCCATTCGAGACAGAAGGCCGCCTGCCAAACAGCGGCTGCTGTTGGTTTGGGACAAAATTTGTTGTTGGGCATTGTACCCATTCTTTTGGTACCCATTTCGGGCGTCCAAATCCAAGGCCCCCACTCGCTTCCCTGGGTCCCTCGGGTGTTGGTCGAAAGCTGGGGAATCTGAGAGCTCTGCCCCGAAGGCTTCCTGCTTAGTGGCTAATTGGCCGAACCTGCTCGACGCTGCACTTGGGCAGGCGGGTCCTCATCGCGACCCGCACCGTGGTGCCATGCTGGACTACCACCGCTCCTGGGCTGGTCCACCGGCTTCGCTGGAGGGCCTGACTCTTGTTCTGAGAGGTGACCCTCCTCCACACGTAGACCCAGGCCCCCGGGAAAACGTGGTATCCACGGGTCTGCGGGCGGCCGAGGCTAACCGAAGACGCTCCCGGGCATCCAAGGACATCATGGCCTTCCTGGCGGATTCTCTCAGTGCGTGCTTGCGAGCGAATGCGGCGGCAGCCGAATCGGCGTCCGACGTGCCCCTGGCCACGTCCGAGAGACCGATTTCATCGTGGGCGTCGTCTGACAACAGGCTACGAGGGAGGCAAGGATTTTCGCCCAGCACAAGCTGATAATTAAGGAGTGAACCCCTCTCAGTGAGCGAAGCGGCTCTTAGCCGCCACCGTTTCGCAGATCAGGTCGCAGAAGCCGCAGAAGGAGGCTGGATGATCACGCCGCAGCCGCAGAAGGAGGCTGGTGTGATGGTTCTCACGACGGGCGCCACTTTCCCTCCCACTCCATTGGCCTGCGGGAGACCCTGGGCGTCCCAGTCCAGGTGCACCAAGTATCCCTTCGCGGCGAAGGCGTCCACGAACTCCTGCAGGTTGGGCTTCCCGATCGGTGCGGCACCGGCCGCGGTGCCCACCAGCGCGTGGTCGCCCATGCCGGAGAGTCGTCACTTCGTGGACCAACCCCGATCTTCTCGTCCGAGGGCCTCTCTTCTGGCTCGAGCACGGTGGGCCACGAGCCTCCCGCCAAGTCCCCGCGGGGGTCGTCCGCTGGGGTCGTCCGAAGAACGAGTCGCTCGGCTTGGCATGCTTCTCGGCCTGGATCCTGTCGGCCTTGCTGCGGTGCGGTTTTTTGCAGTCCTCACGCCAGTGGCCAGGCCCTCCGCAGTGAGAGCAGCGGGACCTTTTCTTGAGCTCGTCGCTGGAAATGACGGGCCTCTGTGAGGTCCTGCTGAGCCAGCGTATCCAGCAGCTGATCCGCTTCGTCCTGATCGAACTCCACCATGAAGATGCTCGTCTCCTGAGTGTCGTCGGAGGGCTCTTCGTCGACCGGGAGAATGTCAGTCTCCATGCCAGCCTCGACGTAGGTACGAGAGCCCGATGACGAGTGGTTGGGAGGCGCTGACCGATCCATGACATCAAGATCAGGAATTGCCTGGAGAATCGAATGGAGGTCCCTGTTACCGGAGGCGAGCGTACGCAAGTTCACTCGATGTTGTTGTGATAGGGCGGCCCCTTCTTCATGACAACGTGCCTTTGACTGCGTCCGGTAGTACGAGTCCCGTCGTCTCCGCCATGCCCAAATGGGCGTCACGACGTTCGACGTACTCTGCGAGAGACGCGCCCTTCTTCATCACGAATTCGAGCAGAGCTTCGTTGTGCAGCTTTCGAGCTGCATCGCCCGCCCGCTCCCCCGAAAGGAGAGCGAGGTGATCTACCAGGAGCTTCATGCCACTTGGCGAGTCGAGCTCGTCTCGAACTGACCCGAGCCTGGTCTGAAGCTCGAGGGGCAGGCCCGCCAAGACCTCGCTCGCCTGGGCGAAGTCCGGGAAGCCTGTCCCGAGGGTCCCTGCTCGGAGACTTCCCTCGTAGAGCTGGAAGTGCCCGAAGCCGTTCCGCTGGGGAGGAGCCGAGGAGTCCCTCGACTTTTCCTCTGCTGGCCATCGGGGCTTACGATCGTCACGTCTGTGCCAGCCCCCATCGTCTGCATGCCCATCGTATTCTCGTGGCCAGCTCTCCTCGTCAGCACCGCGGTACCTGCTCAGGCGACATGGTGAGCTCCAGGGGTCTGGAGTGGACATCCATGGACCTGGTGCTGACGTCCATGCGTCCCAGCTCCCGCGTGACCACCAGTCACGGCCGGCACCCCATTCGGCTTTGACCCATCTTTGTGTCTAGCTGTCGCCGGGGGTCTCGGTAAAACAGGGCTAGGATCGGGATAAATCGCTCCAGAGCGTTCCGGAGCGCTCTCAGAGCGTTCCGGAGCGCTCTGGAGCGGCCGCGGCGCCCAATACATCCTCCAAACCCGCCGATTCTCAGAGATTTCGAGTTATCCCGATCCGATTTTGTCCCGATCTTCGCGTCGTTTTACTCGGTGGTCCACGAGAGCTGTTGCCAATCGTCTTCGTCGGTGCCCACCCCTCTGTCTGAGGTGGGATGCGTGACTCCCCTCGCGCGCTCCAGCGTCCCCGTGGCTTCGGCACCTCCGCCATCGGCCTCGTCCGCCACCGCACTGGATCCTGAGCCGCCGCTCCGCTTACTCCAGATATCGTAATAAAAGGGAGGGGGTCTGGACCCTCCAAGACAAGTCATTTCAGACCTCCCCCGTGGGGGAAGCCTCCCAAACATCGTCCCCAGACCCCCCCAGGCCTTCCAAGATAGCCTGGAAGAGACCCCCCCCGAAATGAGACCCCCCTCCCTTTATTACGAAATCTGGAGTACCATTCTCGCTGGGCATGGGCGGACGAGAGGACGGACTGGGGACCAGAAGAGCAAGAACAGAGCTGATGAGGACAAGATACCTTATCGCGCACATTACACCCTGAGTGACGTGTCACCCTTAGCCCAAATGGCTGTAGCATATATATATATATATATATATATATATATATATATATACATATATATATACACTGGGAACTGAGGGGCCGCCAAGGGCCCCCCCGTGGTACTCTTAGGAACGTCAGGCACACGGGGGCACAAGGGAAAAGAGAGACTGGGCCCAGGATCGGTGCATACGCCCTTCCCGCCTTGGCGCGGAAGGCATGCAGCTGGCACGAGGGCTATAGGACAACCTCGCTTTCGGAGGGGTGTCCGTCTGTTCTTCGCCATCGGGCCCGCGCTTCATTTCTCGTACCTCCATATTGGCCTCCG